CTTCCTAGTCTGTCTTAATCTGAATGTTCAGATTTAGAGGAGTATCTGACAGACAGCAATTTGTGGGGCAGTTAAAGATAAATCCCTTATTATTATCATGGGTGTTAGTAAAATTATATCATCACCAACTTTACTCTTTACTCCATCTACCATGATTTGGCCTATTGGTCTAGTCGTAAGGAGTTTTATTCACCTGATGTTGAGATGTACTCCATAATGAAGACTGAATAGGGATACTGAATGTAATTTCACCCAAGATTATTTTGGGTTTTTTTTTGGGTTTTTTTTATGTTTCTTTTTTTTTTCTATAATTATATTTTATTAATTTTCATAAACATTTACAGAGATTTTGGGCTTCCACTCATTCATTGTTGCAAGATTATTTTGTGACATAATTAATCATATTATTTAGAAGGGCAAAGAATCAAAAAGAACTGAGAGTTTTTAATTTGTTTTGGTTCGATTTTTAAATCACTATTTGTTGATAGCTAGCTCTTTACTTAGTCTATAGTTATACATGGATGTTGGAAAAAATATTAGTAAAGCAAATATTACATACAAAACTCTGATTAAGCAGTAGGCTATTTATTAAGTCACATTTTATAGCTACATGAAAAGCTTTCCTTGCCTAGCTTCAACATCTAAGATAGTATCTGTCTTGAGCACAAACTTTAAATCTTTTCTTCATATTGCTAATAAAGCACTGTATAAATTTATGATACTGTTACAACTGGTCTTCTTAAAACACAGTCATCAAAAGGTGTACAATCTCTGGCAGGCCACATAAACTCTTGATACTTACCTCTGTTCATCTGTACTCTTCCATTCCAATCTTGAATTTTATATTTGTGTGCTAATGAACTTCACAGTGAAATACATGAAACATTCCTCATTTTTATGCCCACGCCTATATCATTCCTTTTACTGGAAAAGCCTCATCTCATTTTTAATTCCTGTCTATTTTTCATAATTCACTCTAGGTGCTTTCTCTGACCCACTTAGGCGGTTAGTTATCCCACTCAGATACTTGTAACTTGCTAGCTTCATTTCGCTCTGGCCTTCCTAGGTACATCAGTTACTCTGCCCACACTCATGTAACTGTTTATCATTCTCTCTTTTACAAATAGTAGTAAGTACCATTTTCTATACATGATTTTTCCAAACATAGCAAGAGGTTCAGTTCTTGGTAGTAATAGAAACATTTCTGTGGATACCCTACCCTTAACTAAACTATCTCTAAGACAAGATCAGGGTTATGTTCTCAATTATATTAATCCTAAGCAGCTATATGTGATGTCCTTGGTACCCAGGTTATATCTTTCCTCTTCCCAAGTTCTCTTCCATCCTTATTACAAGAGGTGGGCTTACAAAGAAGTTTGACTATTGTGGGAATATACTTCTTAGTTCAAGAATCAAATACCTCATTTATTTTCTTTTGATTGTCACGCTTTTTGCATATTTTCATCTCATAAAAAACAATGAATGCCACAAATTGCTTATTTTTAAATTAACAAATTTGAAATTGAAGCAAAATTATAGGTATAGCATATATGTAAGATAGAGGATTAAGCACTGGGCGAATACTAATAAATCCCTTTTTTCAGGAAATTTTCATATTTTCTGCTGTGGATATTGTCATAACCTTGTAGTTAGATTTGTGCTAATGAATGAACATTTTAATTTTTTTCTTAGTCTCCCATTTCAAGAAAACTCCTGAGAAAATCCTTTCAAAGGGGAATAGTTCCAGCCTAGTTACGGTCTCTATAAGATTGTTGGCTTCTACCATATCTCCATCCACAGCCTTCTTATCTCTCTGAAGTCCATAACTTTGCTACGACTCCAGGTTCAATTAATCAGGAAAAGAGGTGGGTACTACATTTATTCATTTAATCACACATTTGCTTTTTAAGGCAGCTACCATAGTGCTGTTGGACAGTAAGTTAATCTCGAAAATAAAGTGAAAACAAAGACAATAACACAACAACAACAACAAAAAATACATTAATTAAAAAGATATCCAAAGAGATTTACATTTTAGAACTATCAATAAAAAGCTACAACACTACGAGAGAAATTTCAGGAAAGGTAAAATATAGCATGATGTGTTGCTATTGTTCAGTGCCCTGATGTCACTACAACTCATAGTGGCCCTATGAACAATAGGTCAAAGTCTAGTCCTATCATCGTGCGCCATCTTTACAGCATCTCCCATGATCAAGCCCATTGTAGCAGCAACTATGTCAATCATGTCATTGCAAGTTTTCTCTTTAACTAACACTCTACCTTTTAAACATTGTCTTTTTTCCAAGGACTGGCCCTCCTGATAACATGCTCAAAATTTATGAGAAAAATTTCACCCTCCTTTCCCCCAAAGAAGATCCTGGTTGCCCTTCCTCCAAGGCAGATGGAATTGTTCTTTAGACAGTCCATGATATATACAATACTATTTGGCAATTCCATAATTCAAAGACATCAATTTTTCTGTGATCATTATTAATTGTCCAATTTACACATGCATAGAAAGCATCTGAAAATACCACGGCTTGTATCAGGTGCACCTTAGTCTTTAAACTGAAATCCTTGCTCTCTAGCACTTTAAAGATGTCCTTGACAGCAAATTTTCCCAGAATAATACATTTTTATTTCTTGACAACTCTGACATAAGTGTTCATTGTGGATTGAAGTAAAATAGTGTTTGGATGTGGCCATGAATGATGGGAAAAATGGGAATAATTGTTTCATACTGTTAGCACCATAAAATGTGAAGGAAGTAATGAAGCTAGATTTGAATGAATAATATAAGCAGGGATAAGATCAGGTAGGGACTTGGACATCAAAGCAGTTGTACTTTATATCAAATTTGGTTTCATAAGTATCTCTATTGCTACAGTGTGTTAAAGAAATCAGAGGCAATTATTACAATCAGAGGATGCTTGAATAATCTAGAATGAGATAAAAAAGAAACTTTTATTTTGTGGACCACTGAGATAAAGAATAAATAAAAAGGTGAATATTGTTGGGGAAGTGAAAATAAGCTAAATTTTTATATGTTTCTAAGACAGTTATGAAAATTTTAGACGCCAATGCTTACGCTGTTAGATACATGATTGAGTCTTAGAATCAAAAGAGAAGAAAAGGGTTGTGCTAGGGTTATGTATATCATATTTACCAATATATGGACAGCAAATTAAGGCATGGGAAAGGATGACAGAGATAAAAAAGCACAAGTAGAAAATAGCCAAGAAAGGGAGCATCTATGTTTAAGGTATAAGCAAAGAAGAGAAACTAATAAAGGAGACTGAGAAGAAGTAGAAATATAGAGGAAAATGTTTGCAAAAGTTAATGATGCCTCCCACCTTTTTTCTATTTTTAAGGAGTGCATTGCTTGTTCTGGGCTTCTTTCCATTCCAAATGAAACTGGAGGTTACCTTTTCCATCTCATTGAAGAATGGGATTTTTATTTGTATTAAGATTGCCTACTAGGGGTGGCGTGGGGTGGAGAAAAAGTATAACAATGAATGAATGGAAATCCAAAATATCTGTAAATATTAATTAAAACTAATAAAATAAAATTTTTAAAAAGTTAATAATGGTGGCAGAAATAGTAACAGTAGAGCAGAGATTAACGATGGTAAAGATTGTGACTTTATCTATGTTGTTGCAGATGTTAGCAAACAAAATAAGTAACCAGAAATATCTTTTCTTTTCAGCTTAGTCCCTGAGAAATGTCATACCAATACCACCTCAGTTCTCAGTTCAAGCACTTATCCAACATCACCTTATTTAGCCCTATGTTCTACCTCACTGGCTTTCCTGGGCTGGAATCCAAGGAACACTGGATTTTTATCCCTTTTTTCTTAATGTACCTGGTGGCCATCTCAGGCAACTCTCTGATCTTGATAATCATTAAGAAAAACCCTCATCTGCATACACCCATGTACTATCTTCTGTCCTTGCTGGCCCTCACAGATCTGGGACTGTCAGTGTCCACCTTACCCACCACTGTGGGGATCTTCTGGTTCAACTATCATGGAATCTACTTTGAAGCCTGTCAAATCCAGATGTTCTGCATCCACTCATTTTCCTTTATGGAGTCTTCAGTACTCCTTGTCATGTCCTTTGACCGCTTTGTAGCCATCTGTCATCCTTTAAGATACTCAGTCATAATCACTGGCCAGAGAGTGATTAAAATAGGCCTGGTAATCATCCTCAGGGGCCCCGTGGCTCTTATCCCCATTGTCCTCCTCCTGAAGGTTTTTCCCTACTGTGGATCTAGAGTTCTATCCCACTCATATTGCCTACACCAAGAAGTGATACACCTGGCCTGTACAGACACTACCTTCAACAACCTATATGGGTTGACACTGGTGGTATTCACTGTAATGCTAGACCTAGTGCTGGTTGCACTCTCCTACGGCCTCATCCTGAACACAGTGGCAGGATTGGCCTCGCGAGAAGAGCGTCTTCGAGCTTTCCAAACATGCACCTCACATCTCTGTGCTGTGCTGATGTTTTTTGTACCCATGATGGGGCTGTCCCTCGTGCATCGCTTTGGGAAGCATGCTCCCCCTGCGGTCCATCTCCTTATGGCCAATGTCTACCTCTTTGTGCCTCCCATGCTTAACCCAATCATATACAGTATTAAAACCAAGGAGATCCGCCGTGCCATCATCAAGTACCTGGGCCTTTGAAAGACTAGTGCTGAGTTCCGGGGTTAAAGTGCCCACAAGAAGGCAACCAATTAGTACAAGGGTTTGCAGCACTGTCTAAAGATACTGAGATCCTCAGGTTTTTTGCTTTGTTTTTTCCTCGTACTTTCCTAAATGAAATAGAGATGATACTCATCCTTGAATTATAGCTTAGGAGTTCTGCCCTTATACTGTCTCAGTCATAATGTCTCCCCCATCTCTGAGACGTAGTAGCATTAAAATCTCCCTATGACCTGATAGTATCTAACACTGCCTAGATGTCATTATCAGAAGAACTTTAAGACTCAAAAACAAACAAACAGAATAAATAAAAACATTTAGAACTCTAGGACAGTGTAGATAAATGTCAATTGCTCTAATTAATCTAAGAAAATATATCTCCACCCATGGCTGCTTTGCACTGATATCTGGCCAAAGTCTTTATCCTGAAAAGGCCAGTGTCCTTAGTTTCTCTTGTCGTTGTTATTGTTAAGTGCCACCGAGTCTGGATGACTCATAGCAAACCTATGAACAAAAAATCTGAACACTTGAATAACTTTCATCATTTCTCCAAGTTTATTGAGGTTCTGGAGGCAAGCTGTTTCTAAAGTGGATGCTCCTGCTTCTAAGCTAGTTTTTTTTTTTGTTTGTTTGTTTGTTTTCCAGGAAACAGTGTATTTTATTTGAGGGGCTGAATTTAATGAGGAGGAGTGTGGCATCAGGATTGTATGAAATTAACCATAACCTGTTCTAAGCTTGTTTTAATCAGGGAGCTCCACCAAACACTGTCCACCATGGGTAACCATTGTTGCCTTTGACACATGAGTATCAAAGTGTTTAGTATCACAGTAACCACAAGTTACCTCCATACAGCAAATGGACAGACCAGTGCTATACCACTTAGAAGCTCTGAATCACTCTAAAAACATAATCCTTGCATTCTTTCCCAGTGCCTGGTTTAAATGAAACTCTCCAATTCTTTCTGAAGTTGTGCTGCTTCTTATTCTCCAAGAAGCTTGCAGTCCTTCCACAACCACTTCTGTCTGATTTCACTCAACCTTCTATACCCTGAAGCTGGAGTCGATACATTGGTGGGTACCTTGCACAATGATGTGGAAAGTGATCAAGCTCGAGCCAAGGAAGCTACCACAAAGGACATTTAAGTCAAAATCATTTTGAATAAGACAGTTTAATCTAGTGGTAGTTGATCAGCTTGTCCTTACTCTTGCTTGGATGCAATTCATGTTGGAGTTTCAACACTGAGGTTACTTTCTCAAGAATATTTTCAGTGAAAGTTCTCTTCTCTAATAGCATATCAGATGCTCCATCTATTCCCATCTGCCTTTGTCATTGTAACATTTGTCATATGATAATTTAATACTTGGAGCGTTTATTTGTCTTCCAGAATAGATTATTAAAACAAGGTCTGTGGGAAAATTATGCATGTCTTGTTCAGCAGAGTAGTCCAATAAATTTAGTGGTTAGTATACAGGAGATAGTCAATAATGGAACATATTATGACTGCAAGAATATGGATATTAACAAAATGGGATCCAAAGATAAGGGGAATATTTCTTTCCCTTAGCAGACCCCTTCTTTCTGTTCAGGGAGTTTGAGAAGAGTCCCTTCAATCACCTAAGGGATTCTCCTCATGATTATTCTGGTTGTACTTCACTCACAGTCTCTGGATCCTCCTTTCTTCTCCAATTTAGGTTCAAATCACTACAGCCAAGAAATACTTCCTGAGAGTTATTTACAGCTTCACAACCTAGGAACCCTCAAATGTAAACCACCACTCCTTCTTTCGTTCAAGGAGAAACCTCACCAACATTGTTTAATTATTTCAACCCTCTATTTCCTATTTTGGACTCTGGGAGGCTCAGAGGCTCCTGACTCATAAATGCCTATCTCTCTGCCTCCAAACAAGACAATTTCCCTGCCTCTGTGGTTCGAGCCACTCCTAGTCTTTTGCTTTCATTTTTCTAGTCAACACATAATCTGAGAAGTTTTCTTAAAATGGTTCTCAGTACTTTGGTGTGCATTCAACTGGTTTATGATCTAAATTTGTACTCTGTTTTTATGTACCAAGACAAACTGAGAGAAGAGGTGGTGGTGGTATTAGGTGGAGTTAATGATGATCTAGAGTACACACGGACTTATAAACCCAGAACATGTGCCTGTGGTGGTTTAAAGTGGAGCACAAATCAGCCACATCACACATGTCAGGTGCTTTCATTGTCCTGAAGACTCATGTGCTGTAAAACTGTTCCCAGTGAAGTTAGAAATATCAGCAGAGCTGTGACCTGCCAAGCTTCTGAAGATTTATGCTCTGATCCTTATTCTCTCAGTTTTTAGTCTTCTGCAATCTTGGAATCATTTGACCTCCACATTACTTTAATCTTGATATAAATGCTCCTCCCATGCCCAGAAATAATCTGTAAATCACTTTTACTACTAAGAAAATTAAATAACAAACAGAAAATTAAAACTATAAAATACTCAAGCAAGAATAAATTACACTTGTAATAATAGTAATAAACTATAATCTGTGAGTAGATATGTCGTTGTTGTTGTTGTTGTTGTTATGTGCAATCCAGTCACCTACAACTCATAGTGACCTTATGTAAAACAGCCCTAAACCCTGCTCTATCACATGCCAATCTTATTGTCTTCAACTCACATTACCTCAGTCACTGAATCAATCAGGTTTTCCCCTCCATCCTCCCAAGCATGACGTCCCTCTACAAGGACTGGTCCTTCCTTGCAACATGTGTATCAGATGAAGCTTCAGAATCCTTCACTGCAAGGAGCAGCCTGGCTTCACTCTCTCCAGGACAAACCTGTTTGTTCTCCTAGCAGTCCATAGTATATTCAACACTCTTCTCCAGCACCACAGCTCAAAGGCATCAATTTTCTTTCTATCATCTCTAGTCACTGACTTTCTTTCCTACACATAGCACATAGTTGAGAACACTATGGCCCTGATCAAGTGCACCTTAGTCTCCAGCCAAACGTCATTGCTCTTCAGTACTCTTGAAAGGTCCCTCACAGCTGACTTTCCCAATTCACTTCATCTCTTGATTTCCTGGTTGCTGCTACCAAGAGTGTGACTGTGGAGCCAAGCAAAATAAAACTGTTAATTATCTCAATCTCTTAACCACCCATCATGATACTGCCAATTAACCCAGCGGTGAGAATCTTTGTTTTCTTGATATTGAGCTTCAATCCATATTGAAGGTCCTCCTCAGTTTCAGCAAGCAGGGTTGTGTCATCTGCATAACACAGGGTTTTGATGAATCTTCCACCAATCCTAATGCCACATTCCTGCTCCTACAGCCCAGGATCTTGGATGATCTGTTCTGCATATAGATTGAAAAGGTATGGAGACAGAATACATCCCTGGTGTAAATCCTTCCTGGTTCTGAAGACTGTCTCTTGGTTCAAGTATACGTTTTGCATAAACACAATCAAATATTCTGAGATTCCCATTCTTCTCAGAGTCAGCCACAGCTTGTTGCAATCCACACAGTAAAAAGCCTTTGCATAGTCAATGAAATACAGATAGCCATTCCTCTTGTACTCTCTGCTTTCTGCCAAGATCTATCTAACATTAGATAGGATAGGATAGGATAGGATAGGATAGGATAGGATAGGATAGGATAG